CTCCTTCTTCTATCTTTATTATTCTTAGATTTGGCCTTTTCATGGTGTCCCAGATTTCTTGGACATTTTATGTTGTGACTTTTTTGGCTTTGTTGTTTTCTTGGACTGACAAATCTATTTCCTCTATTGTATCCTCTACACCAGAGATTCTTTCTTCCATCTCTTGTATTCTGTTGCTTATGCTTGCATCTGTGTCTCCTGTTCATTTGCTCAGATTTTCTATTTCCAGAATTCCCTCTGTTTGTGTCTTCTTCATTGTTTCTATTTCACTTTTCAGTTCTTGAAATGTTTCCTTCACATGTTTAATTGGTTTTTCATGGTTTTCTTTGCTTTCTACATGGGATTTATTGATTTCTTCCCATTTGTTATTCATCTTTTCCTCAGTTTCTTTATTGATTTCTTCCAATTTTTTGTTTTTCTTTTCCTCAATTTCTTTAAGGGAATTTTTCATTTCTGTTTTAAAGGCCTCTAGCATCTCCATGAAGTTATTTTTAAGGTCACTTTTTTCTTTTCTACATTGTGATGTTCAGGTCTTGCTATTGTAGGAGGGCTATGTTCTGGTGATGCCATATTGTTCTTTATGTTGTTGTATATATTTTTGCACTGACGTCTACCCATCTCTTCCTCTAATAGGTGTAAGAGGTGCTTGTGTCTTAGTAAGCTGCTATTGTTTACTCTGTGTTTGCTGTGTCTGTGTCTCAGGGGGCCCCTCTGGGACCAATCTTAGCTCTTGGTCTAATTGGAGCTGGCAGATTCTGTATCTCAGAGAGCTGCTCTTGGTCCAATCCAAGCTAGCTGATTCTTTGACTCAGGGAGCTGCTCTTGGTCTTATCAAGGCTTTTGGTCCAGTCAGAGCTGGTGGATCTGTGTCTCAGGAAGCCTCTCTTCGTTCAATGAGAACTGGCAGATTCTCTGTCTCAAGAAGCCACTGGTATCTCAGGAGGATGGGTATTGGGATAGGGCATGGGTCTTATAGATTGCTTGGTTCAATGGGGGATTTTGGTGGGGAGGTCTGCCTGCAGTAATCTTCCCTGCTGGCTGACAACTCAGGCAGAGATGGTTGGGGATTCCTGAGGACTGGCTGTGTCCCAGGGCCTGGGTCCTAGAGGCAGGACTCTTTGGGTAGGAGAAGAGTCACTCACCTCTTGGTCCAATGAGAGCTGGTGGATTCCTTATCTCAGGAAGTTACTAGGTAGCAGGCAGATGGGTGTTGGGTTAGGGTGTGGGTCTTGTAGCTGGAAGAGTCCACTAGGGGGTTTCGGTGGAGGGTCTGGCCACAGGAGTTTTCCCTGCTGGCTGGCAACTGGGGCAGAGATGGGTCAGGTTATTGTTTTTTACATCTGAGTAATACTCCATTGTGTAAATGTACTACATTTTCCTTATACATTCTTCAGGCAAACCATACTGTTAACAGGCACCAAAGCTGGATTTGAATGCTGAATCCAGAGCCTGAGTTACCAAGTATGTGTGAGAGAGTGTGACAAGCAGAGACATGGGGTAAGGTATAAAAGAGACAGGAAAGACTCCATTGATTGAGGGCTGTATAAGATATGATTTAGCCAAAATAGTTCAAGTTTCTTCATAGTAATCATTGTGAAAAAGGAAAACAAAAAGTTATGAGTTTCAACATATATGATGGCACACATCTGTAATCTCAGCACCTGGGAATCTGAGAAGGGATATTGCTATAAGTTCAAGGCCTGCATAGGCTAACTAGTGAGTTACAGTCCAGCATAGACTACATTGCAAGACCCTGTCTTAAAAGATCTCCCTTTGAAAAAAGTTTTTTGGGGAATTTCTACATGAGATGAAAGACTAGAAAATACCTCTGTGTGGCCTAGTTAAGTGGAAGAGTCAGCAAGAGAAATACTAGACTAAGACTAAATACTAGACAAAGAGAAAAACAAAAAAAGTTCTGAAAATTCACAAAGCACACCTGAAAACTACCGAGAAAAAGATGAGTGAGAGATACAATATAAAGAAGCCAAGTCACATGCAGCTCCAACTATGGCTTCTCAGCAGGGAGGGAGGGGACAGAAGTCTCATCTAAAAGTGGTATGGGAAATTGAACCCTCAAGTGACAGCTGATCAAATCCAGTCATTGGTAACTGATGCCTGTACACTCAGCTCTAGGAAAATGGAAAAAGGAGGATCAAGAGTTCAAGGCCAGCCTTGGCTACATAGCAAGTTCAAGGCTAGCCTTGTCTATATAAGACTATTTGTATCTTTTTTGGGGGGACAGGGTTTCTCTGTGTAGCTTTGCGCCTTTCCTGGATCTCACTCTCTGTAATCAGGCTGACCTCAAACTCACAAAGATCCCCCTGCCTCTGCCTCCCATGTGCTGGGATTCAAGGCATGAGCTACCACTGCACGGTTTGTATCTTTAAAGAAGGTGAGGAAGATTGAGATTTAGCTCAATGGTAGAGTGCCTGTTTAACATGTACAAAGTATTGGGTTTCTTGGTACATGCTTTTAATCTCTGCACTTGGGAGGCAGAGGCAGGCATATTTCTGAGAGTCTGCGGCCAGTGTGGTCTATGTAACAAGTCCCAGGCCATATAGAATTACATAGAGAGAACCTGTCTCAAATAAATGAATATAATGGGGGATGGTCTAGGAGGTGGCTAAATCAATAAACTTTTCCTTGCAAGCACCCACTTAAAAAAGTCCTAGGCATGAGGGCACTCACCTGTCAAGACAGACACAGGAGGCTCCCAGAGCCTCACTGGCCAGCTAGTCTAACCAAATCACTGAGGCCCAGGTTCAATCAGAGACCTTTCTTCCAAAAATAATATAAGAAGTGCTTGTGGATAACACTGGACCTTGACTCCTGCCATCCACACAGAGACACCTGCACACAAGTGCACCAATACACAAACACATACATATGAACACACAAAGATGTTTTGTTTTGTTTGAGATAAGCTTTTACTGCACAGTTCTGGCTTATTATACCAATAATAAGCTTTCTGAGAAAAAAAGTCCTATTTATAGTATCTGAAGAAACAAAGAGAAGAGGGAAGGGATGGAAAGAGGGAGAGATAGAGGAAGAATGGAAGGAAGGAAGGAAGGAAGGAAGGAAGGAAGGAAGGAAGGAAGGAAGGAAGGAAGGAAGGAAGGAAGGAAGGATACTTAACCTAAAAAATAAAAGAGCTCTTAATTAAAAACTTATAAGACAATGAAGACTGAAACTGAAGAAGACACCAGAAGATGGAAGTGTCTCCCATGCTCATGAACTGATGTGATTCATGTTGTGAAGTGGCGCTTACCCAAAGCAATCTACAAATTCAATGTAATCCCCATCAGAATTCAATGACATTCTTTACAGAAGTAGGAACCACTCCAAAATTCCATAGATATGCTCTAACACTCTCGAATAGCCACAGGCAGCTTAAGCATAAAGAGCATCGATGAAGAGATCATAATGCCTCATCTCAGTTTATATTAAAATCAATACTAATGAGGTGGATCAGTGGACAGGGGCATCTGTTGAGTTTGTCACCAAGGCTGACAAGCTGAGTTCAGTCTGTGGGATCCACCAGGTAAAAAGAAAGATTTACTTCTCCAAGTTATCCTCTGACCTTCACATGCATTCTGTGACACTTGAGCACTTAAGCACTTGCATACACATGCATACACACACAATTAATAATAATAATAATAATAATAATAATAATAATAAATTAATTTAACTTAATGTAATTGTTAAGAACTGTGTGACCTAGATGTACCACACCTGGATATAAACCCAAAGAACTTGGTCACTATACCACCAGAGATGCATGCACAAGCATGTTTATTACTGCAATATTCACAATAACTAAGAAATGAAACAATCGACACATGGATAAACAATATGTTGTGCTAAGGGATGTCTTTCTGAATGCTGTGAATATGTGTCGCTCCTACTGGCTAATAAATAAAGCTGTTTTGGCCTATGGCAAGGCAGCTTAGAGGCAGGTGGGAAATCCAAGGAGAGAGACAGGAAAACAAAAATGGAATGGGGGACATGCTAGCCAACCACCCAAGGAGCAAGATGCCAGCAGAGTAGTAAAGCCACAGAACATGTGGCAAAACATAAATTAGTAGAAATGGGTTAATTTAAGATATAAGACCTAGCAAGCAATTAATTAATATTAAGCCTCTGAGTGATTACTTTATAAGTGGCTGTGGAACCGCAGACCAGGCAGGACCAGAGAAACCTTCCAGCTACAATGTTGTACAAGTGTATTTTTCAGTTATAAGGAAACATTAAATCATGACATTTGCAGGAAGATGGAATGTACTGGAAATCATTATGTTAAGTAAAGAAAGTCCCACTTAGAAGAGAAGTGCTATTTTTTCCTCATACAAAGACTCCACACTTAAATTTATATTGGGGGAGTAGAAAGTAGAATAGAGACCACACAAGAGGAGGAAGAGATCTTAAATGGGGTGTTTAAGAGAATTGATGTAACCTAAGAGCAGAAGAGAAGTCAGGTGGTGGTGGCACACACCTTTAATCCTAGTGCTCTGGTGGCAGAGACAGGTGGATATCTGTGAGTTTCAGGCCAGCCTGGTCTACAGAATGAGTTCCAGGACAGCCAAGGCTACACAGAAAAATCCTGTCTGGAAAAATAAAGAAAAAGCAGAAGAGAAATCTGTCTGGAAAGAAGAAGGGGACCTGAAGAGGAGTGAAAAAAAAAAAACACCTAAAGTATAATGACTTTATTTATTCCATGATAAATATATATGGAAAATTCCATAATGACACCTATCACTTTGTATGCTAACTTTATAAACATTGTTTCTAAAAGTTGTGAATCTCATTACCATGTTTGCTGCCTTGGAATGTATGGATTGTGTTGTGGTAGTCTATTTTCATGTCTGAAAGACAGAGACCCTAAGAAGCACTCCCCTTAGAATAGCCAAGATTTTGTGAAAATGCCATTCATTACTTGATGAGGAATAATAGTATTGAGTTCTCCAGACTTATATGAATTCATGGAATTTGTATTTTAGGTTCATCGTTTCAAGTTTCCAGTCATACAATACCCAGTTGCTTTGGAAATTTTCACTGAAAAAGAAAAATTTGCGGTGGAACCTCCATATTTGGTTACCATGACCGAAGTGAATATGAGGCAAAACTGGCAACTAAGTATGGTTTTCTGTCTCCTATGCTTATCTCACAAGCCATTATATCATTAGCGTGTTTTTTAATGAGTGGATTACAAAGCCTGTTCACAGGAAAAATAGCCAGGAGTTTTGTAGAAAAGGATTTGAATCATTGGCATGTTGACATTTACCTCCCTCATCTCCTTTTATGTTCTCATCACTTCCAGTATCCTAGATTCAGTGGTATAAGGCCAGATTTTTTTATTTGAACTGCAGGGCTGAAGAAAATACTCAGTGCTTAAAAGAGTAAACTGCTTGCAGAGGACCCATGTCAAGCAGATGACATAACTGTAACTCCAGCTCCAGTGCATCTTATGCCTATATATCTGCAGGAGCCTGTACATACCCACATACAAACATAATCACAAATAAATCTCTGGGACGGGAGAGATAGTTCAGTAGTTATAAGCACTGGCTGTGCTTCCAGAGGACCTGGGTTCAATTCCCAGCATCCACATGACAGTGCACAACTGTCTGTAACACCAGTTCCAGGGGATCTGAAACCTTCAGACCAATGCACATAAAATAAAATTAAATAAATTTAAAAAAATAATTCTCTAACAAATAATTTGTAGCATAAAATGAATCTGAAAGTCCTGTTGTGGATCAGTAGTGACAATGATGAAGTTTGTGCAGTATAGCAGTTGAGTGTCTTTATTATTTACTATGACAACAGTTACTAAATGTTCTAGGTGTTGCCAGATATCCTGTAGGATATTTCTAATTATGTAAGGGAAGTTTGGTGACTATGTTTTTTAGCTGAATATGGTAATATGCAGTGGTATTCCCAGTACCTACTAGGTAGAGGCAGGCATTCAAGGACAGTTTCAGTTTTATAGTGAGATGTGACCAACCTGGGCTACATGAGACAGTGTCTCAAAAAGAAGAAAGAACAGAAAGAAAGTTTGGCTTTTATGGTAAAGAGCTAAAAAGAGACAGACATATTTTAAAATAAAAAAGGAAATTTACTTAAATTCAGTTTTACCTCAAAATACAACATTTAGTTATATATTTTGTGCTTATTCTTGTGTGACTATTTTCAGGTGATGATAGATAGATAGATAGATAGATAGATAGATAGATAGATAGATAGATAGATAGATAGATGATAGATAGATAGATAGATAGATAGATAGATAG